AGGTTGGGTTGGGATGAAGGTCGGGTTAGGGTCAAGGATTGAGGCCCCATTTGTTTGTAGGTAAATATGCATGGGATAAGCAATGGGCCCCACAGTAAAGTTACCCTTATTTTCTTGGGTAAAAACTTCCATCTCTCGGGTGGGTAAGTAATTTTCCCAATTGRGAGAAATTTTTACAAAACATGATGGGACCATTGTACCCATTTTAATAGTTATTTTTGTGGGTAAAAATGTCATTTTATTACCTAGGAATCCTAGAAATCAAAAGAACATGGGTAAGTGCACTTACACGGTGGGAAACATTTACCTAGGTAAATGCACTTACCCAAGTAAGCTGCACTATTGGAAACAAACAAGGCCTGAAAAGTATGATTCCAATATAAAGTTTGGGCTGGGTTAGGATCAAGGTTCAAAGGATTGATATATATAGATTTTAAGAAACCTGTCAATTGCAAGGTTCTAAATATCAACACGGGTCAATACGTGTTGGTACATTTTTTAAGTTTTATTTTTTTTTTCGAAACTGGTTCAAAGGGGATGGTTTAAGGCCCAGGTACCCTCTAACCGGTGGCTGACCCGATACAACCCATAGAAGGGCGTATCAGTAAGCCATCGGCACRATACGGGGCTGATACATATCGGCACGATACAGGGCTGATACATATCGGCYGATAAAGAGCCAATACGTATTGATACTTTGAACCTTAGTCAATAGTAAATAATAGGTGAGAAATAAGATGATCTGTTTGGTTGCTACGACAGGAGTGGGAAAGGAAGCATCTTCACTGAATATTCTATTTCCCATGCGTTTGATTCCAGTGAAACAATGGAATGAGAAAGGAATGAAGTGGGACGTGGGGTCACACACTCMCACCAATTCAGTCCTACCCCATTGAGGATAATAAGTTTGACCGCAATTGAAGCTACAGGCCAACAGCAAGGTTAATCTTGAATCCGATTGTAGACCAAAGTTCCCTCCTTTCTTGGTCTCTTGTACTGCTAAAAGAATAACTTGTTAAATATGATGGCTCCTGTTATGTCTCACCAATTCAAGTGAGAGAACTGGGTTTGGAGTAGGAAAAAAGATTGCTCCGGCCTCGGACTTATKTACTGCTAAAAGAATAAGTCGTTTATCTTGTCATATACACTGTATTGCTCCTGTCTTGGTCTCCTGCAATCTCCTAAAATACTGCATCAAACTTGGTGTTTCAGTGGAACCCCAAACAATGGAGATGCAATACTTCTCATTGCAAATGGCTCTTGCCCCTTGATAAAGATTGAAGTAAAAAAATTGCACCCTCCCCTTTAGAAGAAAAGCCTACCGGTCCAAAAAAACAGTTAAAGTTTASTTGTTAATGGTTTTTGTTCCTTCTTGAAGAAAAGGTTAGGGTTTGTTGCAATCTTTTTTTCTCTCTTTGGTTTACATCGTTTTTTCCTCTTGGATTGGATGGATAAATCTTGTTATTTTTTGCTTTTTTATTTTTTAAATTTGAAGAAATAATGAAATAGGAGTCTAATCGGAGCCAAACTCTCCATTTGAAAGTTCTACACGCACAAACCGGGGACTGGGATGCTATGTGTAGCT